GTATATTATTTTGCGTTGTGGTATAAGTTGTAGGATGTTGCATGATGGGTTGAATATTTTTTTGCGTTTTATGCTTCTTAAAATTGTAGTTTTCTACTTCAAATAATGAGTTTTTGTCAATGGTTGAACTGAGATCCTGTAGAACTACGATTATGTTATGTCAACTTATTTTCCTTGTGTGATGTCTTGATTTGTAACCCTATCAGTTTGATTTTTTATTTGTGTTTAAAGTTTATTAGACCTGTGAGTATGAGTCTCTAAATTGTTCGATAGAAGAAAATTATAATTTGGTGAAATGTGTCCAGGAGTTAACCTTGTCTAGGTAGACTACATTACTCCGAAGTGAGTTTTATTGAGGATTTTTTAGACTTTCTTATTGTTTTCTGTTGCACCCTAAAATTTGTCCTCAATTTTCTTAATCATAATTGGCTTGTGTTTCACATTCATATGTATTTTTCATTAGGTCATGAATTCACAACCATTTATTTGCATGAGCTCCTAAGACATGGGATCAAAAGATTTCTTGTGATTTGGGTCTTCTCTATTCAAAGATGATTCAATTGGTTATTTCATCCAAGCTTAAAGATAAGAAGTCAACATTTAATACAAAAGCAAAAGATTAGGCAATCACTTTTGTACAATGTCCTATCGTTGACAAGATAGTGAAATCATATTTAAAATCTTTATTGACGTCAAAGTTTGAAAGGGGATACACTCTCTGGCATCATATCGATGACCTTATTTGATTGGTGCAAAGTTGGAGCAAAAAAGAGTTGAATTTTATATGCCGAAGGCTTAGAGCGAGTTCTTAAATGGTCGGAGGAAATTAAGGATCTCTATGAGTCCTTTCAACCCGAGGCAGATTCTAATGCTTTCAAGACTGAGGATTAACTACTCTCTTCTTGCTGGAAACATTATTATTTGCTATTACACTTGGAATATCATAAATTTTCTCAGCGTCACAAGGAACTGCTGGACCAATATCTGTCTAGAATCCAGTACTATATCGATAATCACGCTAGTGGATCTACCGTCAACAAGGATGGTGGGTTGGAGACTAAAAAGTTTTTCTTGAATTGTTTATGCCTACTACTGAGGCATCTAGACAACAAGAGATTTGAAAGCACAATGTCAGAACTTGGGATGAAAATCTCACATTCTAGTACCACAATTTTTCATGAATTTGAATTGTTTGGTTTTTTATTGAATTGCTTAGATATTATTTTTATGAATTGTTTTTTGATGATTTTTCATGAATTGAATTGCTTTGATAATGTTTTCATGAGTTGTTTTCGATCATTTTTCATGAATCATTTTTGATAATTTTGCATGATGTGTATTGATAACTTTTCATGATTATGGATTAATTCTTGATTGATTGTAGATTAATTTTCATGACTTGTTGAAATAATTCCTTGGATGGTTTTGTGGCTAATTGTTGACGTAGAGTTGTGATCAATTCTTGATGCTTGGTATTAATTTTGATCATTGATACAAGTTGTGATTATTTCTTGATACCTTTGTATTGACTAATTCTTGATAGTACTTGTTTAATCTTGATGCGTGTCTTGTGCTTGATACTTTGACATGAGGTTCTCCTTGTACTTGAACCTTTTTTCGTGTTTGATTTTTCCTTAATGATTGAGACACTTTATGTTTTCGTGTTGGTTACTTTGTGCTCACATGTTCTCTTAGGACTTCTTAGTTCAACTTAATTTCTGATTAAGTTCGAAGTAAGATAGACATTAGGCTCTCAATCTAAGTATGATCACATTAGGATATAATCATTTTTTAATCCTAACCTTAGGACCACATTGCATGATAACATCTAGGACCAAGTCTCCCTTAGATTTGTGCGTTGTGTCTTTCACTTCTTCCTTATAATCAATTCAAAACACGTAATAAATATGAGGTGTATAGTAAGACACGAGCCTTGACCACATGGGAAAAGATGAGTGGGGTTCTTTTTGTACCTCTTCTTAGAGTATTTTGTACGCGAGACGTTTGGATCGTTTGTACAAAATATTCTCTCCTATTGTCATAAACTTTAGCACAATACGCATCACAATCTGATTCAATTAACTTCTTCAAAAAGCACTTCAACAAATGCAAACCATTTTGTCCTTCAGGATTTCTCTCAAACCTTTTCAGAAATGACATGTTATTTTTGTTCTACCGCAAACAGGTAACGCGTAAGGTTCCCGACAACGAGCGGCAAACACCTAAACTTTGGAACATGAATGTTAGCATTGTCCATAAAAAGCACAAAGCAACTTGTGGTCCCACGAACTATGGACGCTCTGATTTCTTCATTCTCGTCCGAATGAAGATACGTTGGCACAAGGTCCCAAATCCATGGTGAACAACCTTCCCATTCACCTGTAGTCCTCTGAAATACGTTAAGATGAGCAAGTGTTGTTCAGTTGAGTTTCACTTGAGGCTAGCATGTTCAATGTATGTGCAGTACTATTTCAGTTTCAAATTGGATGTAATCCTCGTCTTGGTCAGGAAAGTGGCGATTGTTTCATTCTTTATATCTAAAGTGGAGATTGTCCATTCCTAATCCATTTACAAACCGATTTTACCCATTTCTTACCCAAACCATTAAACCAATTTTCTAGATCCATTCACTTTTCTCCATCTTTCATTTTAACTTTTTATTCATTTCAATTCCTAAAAACAAATCAACACCCATTTCTCTAAAGTCCAAACTGGTTCAATTCCATAAAAGTTTGTTTCATCCGATTAACCGTTTTTGTTATCCATATTTTATACCTATTTTGATTTTCCATTTATCATTTCTTCGAATATCCATTTTTAATCCACAATATCTATGAATAATTGTGATGATTTATGATGTTGATTTCCATGAGTTTGATGATTATACAATGACATGATTATTATGATGATTTTGATGAATGATGATGCACCTAATGAGTTTATTATGAGGATGATATTGACGTGTGTGTCATGCATTCATATGCATTCGGACTTCGGTTCAGGACCTTGATTTATGTGGCTTCAGTCCCATTGTGCGGATGTGAGACATTTTGTTGTGCTCCGGTTCTCGAGTAGAATCGATCCTACTTTTGTGGATCTATGGAGGGTTGATGGCCCAGTGTCCATCGAATTATATTGATTGATACTACATGCATGAGTCTTGTTGCATTTGCATTTATGTGACATTTTGATGTAATTTATAATGTTGTGGCCTTTGATGTTCCTTGATGATTACGATGATGTTGAATATAAAAATGACTTCATTTTATATATTGATTCTTATATTGATTATTATGAATCGTTTTACTCACCCTGCATGTTTGAATGTTGCCTTCACGTGGGTAACATGCAGATAACCAGGTTTAGCCGAGGATGTCGTCGAAGGCTTTTGAAGTTTTTGGATAATTGGCCATTGTGGTTGACTTAGATGGTCTTACTCTGATAGTGTAACATCGGGTTGAGGTCTTTGAGTCGAACTATATTTTATTGACTTTTGTTATGTTGATTGCCTTGCGGTGCAAGAAAAACTTTGGATTATTGTTTTTGAGTTCCGCTGCCTTTTGAGTAATATTTTGAGTAATTTTTGGAAAAACTCGTTGTTTACAGAGCATTGACCATATTTGAATTTTTGAGAAATGTGCGCACTTTTGAGTTGATTTTATTGTGTTCAATATTTTACTCTGATAAATATGATTGATTTGCCATTATATTTGTGGGGTAGAAAAGGGTGTTACATTAGTGGTATCAGAGCAGGTCGACCCGTCCGGCCAAGTTTTTATGTTGTTAATCCCCTGTCAGTCAATAGAGCCATCTTTTCCCTCTTTAGCCTAGCCTTAGGTTAGGGTTTGTTAACCCTATGTGAGTACTTTGTTATAAGTACTAACCTTCCCTTCCTGGCTTTGTTAGAGCCAATTGATCTTGAAATTTAGAATTAGGTATAGAGTTTGTAAACTCTATGTGAGTATCATTGTTATGAGTATTCATTTATCCCTTTGACCTTGTTAGAGTCAACCACCTAGTTAGTCTTTCAACTTAGACTTAGAGAGTTTATTAACTCTATGTAAGTATCATGGTTATGAATACTTACTCCCTTGGAACCTTGACCACAGTCAAGTGTTCTTCACCCTTAGTGAGGTGAAATATGAAGGCTTTAATTCCATCCTAGTTAGTATACGTAGGCACAAGATGCGATGTCTTGGTGATCATACTTTATATATACCCTAGGTTTTTACCTTAACACATTTTCCTTAACGAGCAAACTTTAGCATAACACAAATACTAGCAAGAGGTTCCTGTAGAGTACTATAGATACTTAGAATGCTAAAATCTTCCCTAGGTATAACCAGCCCGAACCTTATATCTTTAGCTTTGTTATTACATAACGCACTTAGGATTTTCTTCAATCTTTACCTTTTCCTTTGGATAAATCAAAACTCGGTGGTGAATTTCAAAGATTTGTGATTCAAGTTAATCAATAACTTGATATCTGACTCTCATTGCAACACTTAACAAGTAAGTTTTAGATATACGCACCCTTTGATTAGAACAACAAGAGTGGATCTCGTTGAGTACAACGGACGCGAGGGGTGCTAATACATTTCTCTTGCGTAATCGACTCCCAAATCCTAAATTTGGTTGTGAGACCATGTTCTTTCCCTTCTGAGCTTTTCTCGATGTTTTTCTTTTCCCTTTGGGATAAATAAAGTTCGATGGCGACCCTGTGTCTTCGCCAATGGTTTTTTGTAGTAGCGACACTTTCATCTCAATCAATCTAACATGTTTCTGCATGCTTTTTCTAATGATTACATATATGTTATTGCATGTTTCTACATGATGTTTCTGTTTCTGCATGTTGAAAATTGCACTAACATAATTTGCAATTTTTATGGAAAGAGCAAAATTTGCTGAATAAGAATTTTTTTATGGCTTTTGCATCTTGCTTCTCCTTATAGATTTGACGGCTGCTTAAAACTTTTTAGAAAAATTGTAGCAACTTCGAAATGGATAGTCATGACAGTGTTACAGACTTTGAGACAAAAGAACATATCGGTTCTGCACCTCCAGCTTCTAATAATGTTGATTTATGTCCTCAAAAGCATAAAAAGCGACCAAAAGCATTGAATCCTTTTACACCGATGCCGCCGAACACAAAAAAGTCTAAGTCAGCAAAATGCAACCGTTTTTTCTCCTTGATCAAGTATAATGGTGGAACACGTGCCGTCCTAGCTCATTTGAGAAGATGTAGTAATAATCCAGATAATGGAATGTGACAATGCATGAACCGTCTTCAAGCTCAATGAAAAATAGGGAAGCAATTATTAACTCATTCCTTTCAGCTCCTAAATTTGATCAAGAAGTAAGCTGAATGGACTTGACAAAAATGTTTGTAGCCATGGAACTTCCATTTCAAAAGGTATAACATCTATATTTACACGGGTTCATTTATGGCTTGCAAGTAAAATTTAAGTTCCCATCACGCAATACATTGGCACACGATATTTTGAAGAATTGGGACGTGGAGAAAGCAAAAATAAAGACTATTTTGTCATAAAACTGTCGTCGAGTTTGTATCACTATAGACACATGGACATCTATCCAAGAATCTAATTACACGTGCCTCACAGGGCATTACATTGATAACAATTAAAAGTTACAAAAAAAGATTTTGAGTTTTACTAAAGTTGTGAACTACACAGGAGAGATTATGGCCAAAAGAGTTAAGAAGTGCTTAAATGGTTGGGAACTAAATTGTGTGTTTAATGTGATATTGGACAACGCATCCTCAAATGATGTTGGAATTCAACATCTAAAATTATGGCTTCTCTCTCAAAATGTCCTAGTTTTGAATGGAGAATATCTTCATGCACATTATTGTCCCCACATATTAAACCTTATTGTGAAGGATGTGATGAAAGAAGTTGATGGTTATATTGTAAGAACTCATGCATTGGTGAGGTATGTGAGGCGTACTCCTTCGAGGTTTAGAATATTTAATAAATGTATTGATCATGAAACAATTGGATACAAAGGTTATGTTGGGAGAGATTGTGAGACTCAGTGGAACTCAACATATCTAATGTTAAAGAGTGCATTAAAACATAACAAGACCTTTACAGAGTTAGAATTCAGAGACCAGGAATATTTTAATGAAAAGAGTAAGGACAAAGGAGTGCCTAGACTAGAAGATTGGGAGCATGTTAAGTTAATCATTCCATTTCTACAAATATTTCATGAAGCTACAGAGCGTATTTCAGGATCTTCTTATGTGACAAACAACATGTATATGCTTGAGGTTTTTGGTGTTGTAAAAAGTGTCATACCCGGATTTTTACCCCTAAGACCCACCTTCATTTGCATCATGTGCATAACATCAATCATTTCATGTGTGTGCCTTTCATGCATTGTTAAACCCATGAAAGTACAAAAAATAGGCTTTGTTAGCTTTGTTTACAAGTTACGGTCTTTACATCGAATGGTCGATCAATCAGGGTTTAGTGGGATCCTTAACATCTCAAGCTCCTTAATTCATGCATAGTGTAGTTGCTCATGCTAGATTTTAATATTTGGATAAGTTATACAAATGCCACCTGGCGCGTCAGTGGAGTTCAAAGGGGATGATGAATAACTTTTGTACCACAAACAATGTGCATTTAGGTCATACCTCATGTACTTGGTCGACACAATCATATATGTGGATAAAATTGCAGCCTACGTCGATGTAGTCTTCCTAACATATTTCATTGACTTAGAGCGCATCCACAAGTACAATTGAGGGACCGCGTGTTTGGTTTATTTGTACTCGAAGCTAGGTGAAACTTGTCTTTGAAAGACAAGACAGTTGACAGGAAGCTTCGCGTTAGTTACTGTGATATATTTGCACCTCCACTGTTACTAATACGTCATAACATTTTTGAAACCTTGTTATTAATATTTTATCTGAATCATTTTCAGGCATGAATCATCTTTCCCTTTCCTTGCATATTCGGCTGGGCACTTGATGATAACTACATGGAGGATTGACCATATGCTTGCTCTTATATTTCGCTTAAAGGGAATCAAACAATAAAGTCATTTTAGGTGTTTAATGATCGCACTGTAGGCGATGACATATGCTACTGCTCGTACGACGATCACCGTCAAGCGCGTCCCTTGGATGACATAGCCATCTACTTTGGATGGTTGACTTGTGAATCGCGCCTGATGTATCCACATCTTCTTGAGCGGATCATGCGCTAATTCAAGTTTCTTCAATTTATTCCAAGACATTCCTCCGTGTCTGCTCCTCCGACAGTCCACTACGGAGATCTTGATTCCATACTCGATGATTTTTATAATCAAATTTCAAAATTATGTATTATGGTAATATTTTTGCTTATGTTTAAATTTATATTATTATTTAAATTTATATAGTGACATTCTTGAATTACATTATACCATCTAATAACAATAGTTTTAATCCAAACAAGAATTAGTGCAGAGTTTGTTTTAAAAAATAAACAAATAAACAAATAAAAATAACAACATACTCTAGTGAATCCGGTGTCCATCATTGCTTGAATACCAATAAAGTTATTTAATCTCTACTACATTAGTATAATAATAAAGATCATCAAACGATTATGATAGTGACAAATCATAAAAACAAACCATTAATTATTTGTAACATGCATTCTTAATTAACTGATACAAAAATAACTCATCAAATAATATTTAATAAAAAAAAACTTAGTTATCCTATCTCTTGTTCATGTGAGATTAAATATTTATAATATTATAATTAATTAATATTCTGGTAATTTAAACAAAAGAAAACGTAGTCACACACTCTACCTAAATTATTATTAAATAAAAGTTGAATCAGTTACGGTAAGATAATACAAATAATTATAAAATTGCAAACATCGCGTTAAAAATATAAAAGTTTCCCGGGTAAAGGGAGTAGAAAATTCATAGAGCTCTTCAAACAAACCCTTGTTCTTCTCGTTGTTTCTCAAATACCCATTTCTCAAAACCGTTCCTTGTTTTGTGGTGAAAGCTTCATCCAAAGAAGAAGGGGAAGAGAAACCGTATGAAAAGATTGACCAACCTTATGGAATCAAATTCTGAATGTTATTGCTCCCGGTGGATCAGCTGACAAGGCTGGAGTGTTCAATGTTGGTGATCAAGTATTCGCCACCAGGTTTCTGCTCTTCATTTTATTTTCAGACAACTAGATATAGGTGCTTGTTTGCTATATCATCATCTTCAACATAGTTATTTGAATTGAAGGCTTAGGGTTTGTTTGGATTCTGTTATTTATGCTTATCTATTTGAATAAGATGTCATAAACAAAACATTTTCCATATGAAATTGTAATATAGATTTGGACTAAACAATTAGTGTCCATTACTTTTCTGGATTCAATGTTGATGGAATGCAAAGTATTAGGAAGCAGTAGAGAAATTTGATTCTGTTTTGGGAGTAACTCGATCCAATAATCCCTCTATATATGTATTATAACATCAACCACAACATTTTGAGTGTTATAACATTCAAGAAAGCATGTTCCAACTTAATACTATGCTATTTTGAATCAATTTAAGTCCCACGTTGGCTAAAACATCACACAAGCAAGTGTTTATAAATGTCTTACATGCTAGTTAGTTCGCCGAGCTGAGTAACGCTAGCTTGTGACCCATGTGGGGGCAACAAGGTGATGGAACATGGCTAAGGCTTAACTGGTTGGTCTAGTGGTTGCACCATGTTGGCCTGCCCACTCCAAGTTGCGAGTTGACCCACGGGACTTGTGCGAAGGCATGGGTCTTGTGGGTCTTAGACAGGAGGGTACAGCGTGAGGCTGGTTTCACAGAGCAGCGAGCACTTCCTACTCTTGACGGTGGAGGGATCACGGGTCGCTGCACCTCTGGCCCACAACACCTGTTGAGCCTAGCCCCTTGAACCATCTCTTTTTGGTGGTGGGGTTCATATTTTAGGTGCCTGCCATGTCACACTCTGGGGTTCATATTTTAGGTGCCTGCCATGTCACACTCTTAACACAAATCATCATTTGCTAAGGTGATTGATCGAGCCTTTGGACGACCTCTGTACCCTTCTTTTGATCCATATGCAAATGACATCAACTTTATGCTTGCATCTTATTTGATTCCTTATGTTGGTCTTACCGGATATGTTGAGCCAATCCACTCCAAAATGCTACATCTAGACAGGTATAAATTGTGGATGTAGTTGCTGTTGTGATTTTCTGTGACCCTAAAATACAAGCAACAGTAACTGCTGTTGTAGTTCCATTGTGGAAACTTCTATAGTTTAATATTACAACTGCAATTGTGGATTGCAGACAACAATTTAAAACTATGCCTATCACTACTAGATGTGTAATAATGTTGCATGTATGTATCAGCTGATTGTAGGTCTTCTATGAGTAGCATCAGGCCAAGATGCCTTCTCTGGCAACATTCTTGTTGGTGACAAATATTAACTATCATATTCACTATCTTTAAGAAAACATGCTTGTATATAGAATAAGAATCGGTAGAAAAAAAACATACGGATAGTATAAGAATATATAAGTAAACAAAGAGTGAGATCAAAACACACTTGTTCAGCATAGTGAAAGTTCTATGAGTAAGACTATTTGCAGGTCTTCTATGAGTAGAATCATGCCAAGATGCATTCTCTGGCAACTTTCTTGCTGGTAACAAATTTTAAATATCATATTGGCTATCTTTTTTGAAAACATGCTTGTTTATAGAATAAGGATCAGAAAGGAAAAAAAACATAAAGATAGTACAAGAATATATTATCTTTAGAATGTTCAAACACTTCCTTTTCAAAAGAGTATCATGTAATTCTATGTACTTACCAAATCAAAATATATTTGAAATACTTCTAAACCATACATAGAAATCAGAAAAAGAAACTCTTCACCAAACTTTGATAATAGAATAGGAGGGGGCCGCGCGAACGCAGGCCCCCACAGCAATAAATTATGATGTAGGTTCCACCACTTGAGTAGACCTTAGGATAGCACCCCTCCTAAGTGCAATGGAGGTCACTCTCCTAGGCCATGGTCCTTCATGATCAACCATTGACCCCATCCAGGTAAGTATGTTAAAAGGTGGGTATTCAAGTTCTTTTATACTCTTTTATTTCAATACATTCCACCTTCTTTCGATGTGGAACTCAACTACTAGTAGGCAATGTATTTTCCACACTCTACTGCTATTTTTTATTTTTTCACTTGAAAGCGACCAACTTCCCTTTGGCTTTT